GAAGTTCAAGGCCATGGTGTCCGGCAACTGTACAAAGAAGAAATTGGAGGATGACTTCTGTTCAAGAAAGAACTGATTGGAGCTGTGTGGGACATGTGGAAGATGTGGGCAGGGTCTTGAACTTTCTTTTGGGTGAGGAAAAACCGGAAGCTTTCAGGTTCGGGTTTTCCCAGATGTGCCAATATGACATCTCTAATAAAAGTTAGCTTTGAGGAACTTCAGGCCTCGGAGTTTGATTTCGTTGGGGGTGTTACTTGGAACCCTGACAATTGGAGCATGTGATCGACTGATGAGTGAGGGGATGGTTTGGGGTTTTTTGATTTACTGAGGGAAAACCCGTAACTCTCAGATTCGGGTTTTCCCAAGATGTGCCAGTATACCTACTCTAGTAAACAGAACTTTGAGAAAATGCTTGCCTCAGAGTTTTTAATTGGAGCGGAGGATTTTCTGGAACACTGTCACTCACTCTGTCAGTTTTGAGTTAAGGAATAGAATAGAATAACAGAGTTGGAAGGGACCTTGGAAGTCTTCTAGTCCAACCCCCTTCTTAGGCAGTAAACCCTACACCACTTCAGATAAATGGTTATCCAACATCTTCTTAAAAACTTCTCGTATTGGAGCATTCACAACTTCTGGAGGCAAGTTGTTCCACTGATTAAAAATCATTTTTGTCCTCTGAACGTCCCGTTTTTCCCCTCCTGGCAACCAGAAGCACTCTGCAGGCCCAAAATGGGCTCATTTTGGGCCTCTCAAACCCTCTGCGCATCCCGTTTCCAGCCTCCCCGATGCCAAAGAGGGCAAAAATGGGACCCGCGAAGGCCTTCAGAGGCCAAAAGTGGGCCCGTTTTTGCCCTGCACAGTGGTTCTTGACGCCAGGGAGGGCAAAAAAGGGACGCACAGAGGGTTTGGGAGGCCAAAAAGAGGCGTGTATGTGCTCTATAAGAAGCAAAGACATTTCTGCCCACTTGTTTTTTGGGGAAAAGTGCATCTTATAGTCTGAAAAATACGGTAAGTCCAAGTGGGATGGGGTGGAGGAATAGGTAGGGTGAATGTTACAGCGCCTCTTCTGTCACTCATAAGTGTGACAGATGGCCATGGTACTGCAACATCGGGACTGGGTCTCAAGTACTTTTTTTTTTTTTAATTTAGACTTCTATACTGCTTCATAATGCTTTACAGCCCTCTCTAAGCGATTTACAAAGTTAGCATATAGCATATTGCCCCCAACAATCTGGATCCTCATTTTACCCACCTCGGAAGAAAGGCTGAGTCAACCGTGAGCCGGTGAGATTTGATCTGCTGATCTGCTGAACTAGCAGTCAACTGAAGTAGCTGCAGTACTGCACTCTAACCACTGCGCCACCTCGGCTTTGGGGGAGGGCTGGAACCGTTCCTAAGTGAACTGCCGTAACTCAGGGATTACCTGTACCCTAGGATGCTCTGAGTGACATTGCATGAGGCCTTTGTTCTTAAATTGGATTGGAAGAATGCTCTTCCATGGGTTGAGTGTGAAAGTTCTGTTCTCACATAATTTTAGAGGTTTCAGAGGACAAATGACAACACACTTCTCTCACATGACCTCCAGGTAAGTTCAAATAGAAATGGAAAAATAGAGATAAGAAATGGCAAAGAAAGCATCTAAGCAAAGAGACATTGACTCTTTCCTTCCTTGGAGTACGAGAAGATCCTTTCCTTCTCCCTCCCAGGAGATGATATCTGATTAGTGGTTTTTTAATAAAAAAGCTAACTATAATTTGTCTTCTTGAACTCTCTGACTGGGGACTAGAGAACTCTTACCCAGAGAGGCCACGTTCCTATGGTTTTCAAGCATGACTTCCAAATGCAGCGCTTTTTGGTCAGGATCCAGCTGAGACCATTCCTCCTCAGAGAAAGACACAGCCACCTCCTCGAAGGACACAAGACTCTCCTGAACACGGAAAAAAGAACAGAACAGGAGGATTTGCAAGATCTGTTCATCTTCATGAATGATTTAGACAAGAGGATAGAAGGGGCTCATCAAATTTGCAGAGAAGACCAAAACAGACAACAGACAATAACAAAGAAAAGCTCAAGATATACAAGAATCGACGGATTGGGCCCCATCTAACCAAATGAAATCAACAGTGAGAAATGTAAGGTTCTACATTTAGGAAAGAAAAACCAAATGCACTGGCATAGAATAGGTGATACCTGGCTCAACACTAGTAAGTGCGACAGCAATCTTTGAGTCCTAGTGGACAATCACTTAAACATGAGTCAGCAGTTGCTAGAGTTGCCAAAAAAAAAAACCAACAGAATCATAGGCTGCATTAACAGGGATAGAATCAAGATCACGTGAAGTGTTAGTAACACTTTAAAAGGCCTTGGGAAGATCACACTTGGAATATTGCATCCAGATTTGGTTGTCAGATGTAAAAATATCTTGAGACTCTAGAAAGAGTGCAGAGAAGAGCAACAAAAATTATTAGTGGACTGGACTTCCGGTGGCAACGCGTCGTCGATAGCAGCTCCTTTCGAAGCGCTTGCCCTGCGATCTCGTCAAAGCCGCTAGAACAGCGAAAAACAGCTGTTTAGCGGCTTGAAAATTTTCCCCTCGGGTAAAGAGAGCAGCCAGGCTTGGGTTGAGCTCCCCAAGAGTCCCAGGAATAATTCCTGGGGCACGAAGGGTGAGAGCTCCCTAAAAGCCTGACAAGCTCCGGACCCGGGACGCTTCTGCATTTAGCAGAACAAGACGCCGTGACCATCCCTGCAACATTTTAACATTATTTTGGATACAATAGCAGGCAGAGCAAAGACAGGAGGAACTCCAATTGCAAGTATTAAACTTTAATTCCTGTGTACTAAATACTTCCTTCTTGATTGCTGTGGGAAGAAAGTGAAAGGAAATGGCGCCGAGCCTTAATTGGGTGTGGTAACGAAAGTTAACTTCAAAGTACACATCTGTGCTGACAGTCTCTGCTGCTAATAACTTGCCTGCCGGCAGCATCTCCTTCTCCTGGCTGCGAGGGGTGAGGGGGCACACTGGAACCCAGAAAAGGAAAAAGAGCAGAGCTGCTGGCTAAGCAGAGGCTTCTCTGTCTCCCCACCCGAGTGGCCCCAAACCTCCGGCGGTGAGGGAGAGAAGCCCCAGGCTGCTGTTCCTCTTGCTGCCGGAGAAGCGACAGTGCGAGAACCACCGTTGCCAGCGGCGAGGGGGTGGACAGGTGGGCTGGGGCTTCCCCCCCCGCCGGAGGCTTAGGGCCACGCCAGAAGCCTGTTTGGATGGGGAGACAGGGAAGCTCTCAGCTCCAGTGGCAGGAGCAGCCAGCGGTGTAGAGAGGATGGCAGCAGGCTATGGCAGCAGTTTGTTTGTGCCGGCGAAGAGGCAGCGGCGGCTCCTTATCCTCCTGCCAGCCTTGCGCTCCGGGCAGCATCCAGCCAGCCATGCCTGGCATCCCTCTGCAGCAGCCCACATGGATCCCAGGCAGCACAGCTTCGGTGTTGGTGACAAGGCAGGCAGGCGGGTGCAGGAGAGCGACTGGGGCAATGCTCCTTGCTGGCAAGGGAGTGGATTTCCCGGGACACGCATGTGCACTTCCAGCTAGTCGTCTGTTTACTGGTACGCATGCATGCATGTCAATCAGCTGCCCATCTGATCTTCCAGTTTCTGGCACTGCAGCAAACGTGGAAGCCGATCGTCACACACACATTCGCACTAGTAACCAGAAGAGTAGCAGGCTGATGTGCATGTGTGCGCCACTAACCCGGAAGAGGAATGGGCAATGCTGCGCATACCAGGTGAAATGGCTCTGTGTGCCACTTCTGGCATGCATGCCATAGGTTCACCATCACGGACCTAGGAGAACAAGATAACCAGAGGAAGCTATGCTGGCTGACAGGAACTTAAACTTGCTACTCTGCTCTCCATGTTGTGGAAGAACACAAAAATAATCCAGTACAAACAAGGAGTGGGCGGAATAGAAGGAGGGAGCCCTCTGCACACCCACTTCACTTCCTGAAGGAAGAAAACAAATCTAATCACTTTTCTCTTTCTTACCTGATTTGGAGGGTCAATCGCTGTTTGATCCCCATCAGAAAAACCAGAAAGCTCCATTCTTTGTTTCTCTGTAAAGAATAAATAATTTCAAAATGCATAATTAACAAAATAGGAGGAGGTATTCTATAGAAGAGAAGAGAGAGCAAAGTTAAGACAGATGGGAAATCAGAACATCTTCCATTACCTCCTGAGGTGTCCTGACTTGGATCTTCCCAAGGGATCCTCCTGAAAAAAAGCTCCTGAGGGGGATTTGATGGGTTCTTCTTTCCCTCAGGATCGCTGATCTCCACAGTGCAACACTTTAAATAGGAGGAAGGAAAAAAGAAGCAGAATTAATGTACGTCACACGACACAAAATTAATTCTTATATTCAGAACACAACCTCAAAGCCCCCAATATCCATCCGTGAGGTTGAGTGAGAAAACAAGGGAACAATGTCCTACAAGAATTGGTGAATTGCCACATATGATGAATGCCAGAGAAGTTTGGGAAGGAGGGTGAAGTATTCAAACACTTTCTCTATTCCCTTCTGAGCTCCCTAAAGTCTCTCACCTGCAACTGGACCTGCTCCTTCTGCTCCTCCGCCTGGCTCAGGAGGAGGCCTTCCGCCAGGGCCACCGCCTGGGAGCTGGTCTCTGCTCCACACTCCCGCACCCAGCCCTCCATCTCTGGGGGCAGGAGAGCCAGGAGCTGCTCCAGAACCATCAGGTCCAGCATCTGGGCTTTGGTGTGCTTTTCTGGTCTCATCCATTGCCTGCAAAAGCCATGGAGTCGGCTGCAAAGTCCTCGGAGACCCTCAGCCTCCCGGTATTGGATGGAGGTCCAGGACTGAACTTCGGAAGGGAGGATGGTTTCCTCCTCCAGGATCTTCTGCCCGGTTCTTGTCCAGAGCTTCTCCCCCTTCCCAGGCTGAGCATCTGAAGGGCCTTTTCCGCTTCCCTCCTTCCCAAAAGATTGTGTCTCCATCCTTTCTCTGTCCTGCAGAGCAACTCCAAATGGTTCCAAGGACTCTGGTGGGTCTCCAGATGCCTTTTCCTTCACGGGACCATTTCTAGTGGTGCAGGATTGATCCCTGCAAGGGATTCCGCTCTTTTTCTTCCCTCAAGAGAAAAATTTACCTTGCAAAGACCACAAATGGCTTCCAGTTTCTGTATCTGAGATGGGAAGAAAAAGAAACGCCAAGAATTGGAAAGTGGAATTCAGCCACTGAGCGACCTTCCCCCAACTTGCCCAGAGCCCCAAGCGGCTCAACCCAGCGCAGGTCCCAGGCCCCCCCGAGCAGGGCCGTGAAGGAGGCAGCTGGAGAGGCCGCCCAGCTTCTCTGATCCCACTCGGGCTCTTCTCCGGATCCCCACCGCCTTCCCGGCATCCCCGCTTCCCCCTGCAGGGAGAGGGCGGCTGGGGACCATTGGACCCGGGAAGAGCCCCCCCCTCACCCGAGGCACGTTTGGATGTCCCCCCGCTAGACTCTCCCGCAGCCTCTCCGCCTCTTCCGGGGCTCCAGGGGTTAAGGCGAGCGAGTGCAAAATCCTAGAGAGGCAAGGCTCCAGTGGGCCAATGGGGAAGCGCCTGGAGTTCCCTTCCGTTGGCGGAGGGCGCCCCCTGATGGATTTGGCGCGAAGTGCCAGGATTGTAGAAAGGGCGGGAAAGAGGAGCGCAATGGAGGGGGAAGGGCGAGAGCGGGGAGGATGGGCTTGGGAGAAGGGAAAAGAAAGGCCGGTCTCTATGCCTTCCTGTCTCCACAGGCGGCTCTTTCTCCGTCTTCCTCTCCTTCCTGTCCAGGAACCGTCTGTGGAGACGGAGAAAAACTTCTCTGGAGCCTCCCTGAAGAACAGCCGCCCTAAAAGCTCCGCGGAGATCGAAGGAGGCCTCCAAAGGGACCAAATCCTGTCACGAACGGCCGGGCGGTCAGAAGAGGAGTTCCGGGGGGCTCTCTGGGGGATTCCGGCCTGAAGGGGAGAAAGGTGGGAGACGGGCAGGGAGGCCTCCATGAGGGAAAAGGATTGGAAAGGGACCGAGGAGGAAAGAGGGAGAAGAAAAGGCTCCGCAATGGAGGAAAAGCTGGAAACCTCTGGAGAGGCCAGAAATTTTACCTCAGAACGAGGCTCCTTCTTTTCCCGCTTCTCTCCCTCCTCCTTCAGGTGACGTCACGAGGGACTCTGCCTGGAGACCGATGACGCTGGAGCAGCGAGGATTCCCATTGGTCCAAAGTCCGAGGAAAAGGCTCCAATCCAGAAGCGCCGATTCCTCCTCTGGGGCTGGGAGCTCCTGGCAGGGACGCCTCCTCCCCTCCCCCCCTTCAGTTCACAGATCAAAGGTTTCTGCCGAAGGGAGGGAAAGGTGGAGGGGGAGACTTGGGGGTCACAGACCCCCCCCCCCCCCTCCCCCAGTCCGAAGGGAAGCCGATGAAAATCCTCAGCTGAACCAGGAAGAGGCGAAGAGAATCTGCAGTCCAGCCGGATCCTTCCCGCAGAATCCCCCGCTCGGCTCGGGGGAGAAAAACGTGGCTTCCCTCCTTGGAACCCGCGTCTCTCTTGCTCAGAACGTCTGGACGCAGCAGCTCCTTCCCATTCAGGGCTCTCTCCTCTCCCCCTCCCCAAACAGCCCCCCCCCAAGACCACCTGAAAGGGACGGTCACAAACGGGCCCCCGACCCTCTTCCCCACTCCTGGGGCCTCCGTCCCTTTCCTCCCCCCTCCCAGCCCCTCTCCTCCCCCTCCTTCGCTTTCGGGCACCGGGGCCAGCGCCCCCACCAGCAGCATCAGGGCTGAGGCGCGCCCCCTGGTGGATTTGGCGCGAAGTGCCTGGATGGTAGAAAGGGCGGGAAAGAGGAGAGCGTCTGAGGCAGTGTTTCTCAACCTTGGTAGCTTGAAGATGGGTGGACTTCAACTCCCAGAATCCCCCAGCCAGCTTCCAAGGTTGAGAAACACTGGTCTGAGGGGAAGGGAGAGGGCTGGGATGATGGGCTTGGGAGTAGGAGGAAAGGCCTCTCAATGGCTCCCTGCCAGACAGAGGCCTCCTCGTCTCCAGAGGCATCTCTCAATCTTCCTCTCCTTTCCTCTCTAGGAGCCGTCTGTTTGGTATTCAGTGCATAGATACAGCTGCCAATAAGGTCTTTTTCTGTCTTACTCTTATTTCAGTTAATAAAATTCTACCTTCCTCATCTGCGTAAATTTGTCTCGGTTGTAGCCAATCTTTAATATATACTACTACTACTCTCTTTTTTTGTGATGCAAGAGCTGAATACAATTTTCCTAGCTTGGGGGTTTCTAGTAAATGTCCTTGTTGTTTTTTAATATGGACTTCTTGCAAACATGCAATGTCCCTGTTATATTTTTGGAGATTGGATAGGACTTGCCTTCTTTTAATTGGAGAGTTTAGGCCATTTATGTTAATCGAGATTAATTCAATTTCTTGTTCCATTTTACCTTTTATTGGTGGCCCTAGTTCCTTTCCTTATTCTCATTTCTCTTTGTGTCCTTGGTCTCGCCCCTGTTCTTTCCTGATGTTCTCTTTCAGCCCTCTCCTGTACTTCATTTCCATCCTTTTCGTCTGAATCTTATCTTCTAGCTCCTCCCCACTTTCTTTCTCCTCATCTGTTGCTATGCATTGGTCATAGAATTCCTGGGCCTTCTCTGATGTATCTAACCTGATCTTTTTGTCTTGCCAGGTTACTAACAAGCCCTCTGGAATGAGCCACCGGAACATTATTTTATATTTTACCAATTGAGAAGAGAGGAAGTAATAGTTCCGCCTTTGTTCCCTTATTCTTCTAGGTATTTGTTTAAGAGTCAGTATCTCTTTCCCTTGATATGTCAGCAATGTGTCCCGTGTTCTCCTATAAATTTCATCTCTAATTGTTTTTCTCGTGAATCGTACATGTACCTCATGTGGCAATCTATGTCGCCAAGCATAGTTCATGTGAACTCTGTACAAGTCATCGATACCGTTTTGCAATTCAGTCCTATTCATCTTCAAATTCTCTGCAAACAACTCTATTATAAGATTCAGATCTTCTTTATTTTCCATTATATTTTGGAACCTTAGGTAAAACGCATATTTGTCCATTTCAGGATATGTTATTGCCTCTTCGAGTTTTTGGTAGGTTGCCATCAATTTCTTTTCTGTCTCCTCTAGTTTTTTTCCCATCTGTTCTGTTCTTACTTCCACTGTTTTTATTCTCTGCTCATTCTTGGCAATTGTCTCTTGTATTTCTCCCATTCGATCATCTAGCTTTCATATATCCTCTCTTACTTCTCCCATATCGTTCTTTAATTCTTCATGGTTCTTTCGAATCGATTCTTGGATTTTCAAGAGCACCTCCTGAATCATATTTAGCGTTGTCTGCATACTTTGTACATTCATTGCAGGTCTTGCCTTCTCACCTCCCAACATATCTCCTATCAATTTCTGACCTGCTGGAGAAGCCATTTGCATGATTGCAGTTTTTGTAATTGTCGCTGTGCTTGTCATGTCCAATTTCCCAAAAAACTTCTTCCACAATACCATAAACTATATAGTTCCTTTCCCCTCTAGAAACTGTCTTTCTAATAACAATTCCTTCTCTTATATCTGCTTATCCTATAGTTATAATTATTAAATATTTCTTTCTTTTGTAACCTTACTCACCTATTTTACAATTAAATAAGATAATCAGATAATAATCAGATAATATAATTAATTTTACTCAACTATACCTTTAACAAATTCACTCTAAATTTATTTAACAATACCTAAATAAATAAACTAAAAAAATAAACTAATTAAAACTAACATATAATACTTCAAAAGGAAAAAAGAGTATTTCATCAAAATAAATACAATTATTTAAAATTCTTTAAAACTACTTTTATCAGTCGAGTTTAGTATAATCAGTAAATTTAATCAATTAATAAATTCATTTATCTTCTGTGTGGATCATCTTATGGGAATTAAGATAACTTCTTTGAGCAAAGGTCTTTCCACATTCCATGCATTTAAATGGTTTCTCCTCTGTGTGGATCATCTTATGGAAAATAAGATGACCCCTTTGAGCAAAGGTCTTTCCACATTCCATGCATTTATATGGTTTCTCTCCTGTGTGGATCCTTTCATGGGAAGTAAGTCCACTGCTATAACTAAACGTCTTTCCACAGTCCATGCATTTATATGGTTTCTCCCCTGTGTGGATCCTTTTATGGATAGTAACTGTACTGCTATGAGCAAAGGTCTTTCCACAATCTATGCATTTATACGGCTTCTCCCCTGTGTGGATCCTTTCATGGGAAGTAAGTGAACTGCTATGAGCAAAGGTCTTTCCACATTCCGTGCATTTAAATGGCTTCTCCCCTGTGTGGATTCTGTTATGGGAAATAAGATGACCTCTATGAGCAAAGGTCTTTCCACATTCCGTGCATTTATATGGCTTCTCCCCTGTGTGGATTCTGTTATGGGAAATAAGATTACTTCTTTGAGCAAAAGTCTTTCCGCATTCCGTACATTTAAATGGTTTCTCTCCTGTGTGGAGCTTTTTGTGTCTTCTAAGGCCACTACTATAAGCAAAGGTCTTTCCACACTCCATGCATTTATATGGCTTCTCCTCTATGTGGATCATTTTATGGGAAGTTAGTGTACTGCTACAAACAAAGGTCTTTCCATATTCCATGCATTTATATGGTTTCTCCCCTTTGTGGATCATCATATGGATAGTAAGTTGCCTGCTTGTTCTAAAACATTTTCTACATTCCAAACATTTATAAGGCTTCTCTTTTGTGTCAATCACTTTTTGAGAAGTAAGGAAGTTATTTCCAAGAGAAAGAATGAATGTCCCATTGTAATTTTGTCCGTTGTGTCTTATTATAGCATCTTCTCCTTTGTTTTGGGTTAAATAGTGTTCATTTACTTGTACTTTAGCTTTGATTAGCTTCACACTTTTCCCAACATATTTTTTCCTTATTCTCTCTTGTTGGGCAAGAAAGTCTTGCATCGGACCATCAGTGGAAAATGATTCCAATTCTTTGGAATCCAATTCCTGATTCCAATTCTTTGACTGGTTTCTCTCATGGCTTTCTAATTCTATTCGAATTCCAAACTTCTCAGTTCCATCTTTAGCATTGATCACTTGGAACAGTTCACAGGAATCTTGATTCTCCTGCCCATTATTACCTTTAAAGCAAAAGGGAAATGAAAATGATAACAAGGTTAGAGAAAAAGATCAAAGTGTAGAAAGTTAAGTGAATTTTTTTCTGAATTTCTCCGAAATTCCATTAGGTTGTATGTTTGCCTGCCTACAGGTATGTGATATGGACATGATGATTTCTATATTCATGAGTCATGAAAGCTTTGAAGATGTCTAGAAAACATCTCTTTCTTTACAATTATCTAAATATATGCATAACAACGGCAGCTACTGACTGGATCTCCAAACTCGACATTAAACTATTTCTGTTTTCCTTTTAGGTTTTCTTACTGTTTTTTTATTGTTTTAATTGTTTTTAACCTGTAAAAATGAAGTGTTTTAATACTGTGTGTGACCAACCATACGCTAAATAAATAAATATATATGCAAATCTCACTCAGTCCGTTTTGAGTTAAGGAATAGAATGGAATAACAGAGTTGGAAGGGACCTTGGAGGTCTTCTAGTCCAACCCCCTGTTTAGGCAGGAAACCCTACACCACTTCAGACAAATGGCTATCCAACATCTTCTTAAAAACTTCCAGTGTTGGAGCATTCACAATGTCTAGAGGCAGGTTGTTCCACTGATTAATTGTTCTAACTGTCAGGAAATTTCTCCTTAGTTGTAAGTTGCTTCTGTCCTTGATTAGTTTCCACCCACTGCTTCTTGTCCTACCCTCAGGTGCTTTGGATAATAGCTTGACTCCCTCTTCTTTGTGGCAGCCCCTGAGATATTGGAACACTGCTATCATGTCACCCCTAGTCCTTCTCTTCACTAAACTAGTCATACCCAATTCCTGCAACCCTTCATCGTATGTTTTAGCCTCCAGTCCCCTAATCATTTTTGTTACTCTTCTCTGCACTCTTTCTACAGTCTAAACATCTTTTTTACATTGTGGCGACCAAAACGGAATGCAATATTCCAAGTGTGGC